AAAAAAAGATAAGGGCAGAAAGATCTTTTTATGAGCTTATTATGAGAGCGTGAGAACACTTTGGTGTGATCTATACTGTGACTGAAATGGTGGACGCTTTTTTTTTTTTTAAGTCTGAGTGTCACTCTGTTGCCCAGGCTGGGTTGCAGTGGCATGCTCACGGCCACTACAGCCTCAACCGACTGGACTCAGGCGATCCTTCCGCTTCAGCCTTCCAAATAGCTGGAACTACAGGCGTGCACCACCACGCCTGGCTAATTTTTTGGTTTTTTGTAGAGACAAGTTCACGCCAAGTTGCCCAGGCTGGTCTCAAAACCTGTGGGCTCAGGTAATCCTCTCGCCTCCACCTCCCAAAGTGCTGGAATTACAGGCATGAGCCACCATGCCCGGCTATCATGCCACACTTGTAAAGGCAGGAAAGTCAAGAACTCGGTTTTGGTTTCAGTAAGGAAAATGCCATGAAGGCGTGAGAGTAGCGTGCAGGGAGCGAACTCTGGGTCTCCCTAAGCACTCGCCACTCCCTTTGCATCTGCCCAAGAGCCTGCAGATTCTTGTACATCCCCATTTTTTTTTTTTTGAGTCGAGTCTCACTCTGTCACCCAGGTTGGAGTGCAGTGGCACACTGCTCACAGCCACCACAGCCTCGACCCGCTGGGCTCAGGCGATCCCTCCGCCTCAGCCTTCCAATTAGCTGGAACTACAGGCGTCCACTACCATGCCTGGCTAATTTTTTGATCTATTGTAGAGACGGGGTCTCACCAAGTTGCCCAGGCTGGTCTTGAACCCCTGAACTCAGGCAATCCTTTCGCCTCAGCCTCCCCACATCCCCACTTCTAAGCCCCAAGACCCTATGTCCCCAAACACTTTGTCAATGTCTGGTCTTCTTTTTGTGACCCCATTAGAAAACAAAAATGACCAGAGAGGTTATTACCCTAGTCTCGTGATAAGGATGTCCATTTTTGGCCTATGTTTAAAACTCTGCTAGCGTCTATGAGTTTCATGAAATTAAAAATGCACCTTTCCTTACCTGCCAAATTTATTTACCAAGGGACCGACTAGGAGGGAGCCAATGAAGCCCCCAAAGGGAAACATGGACACAGTTAGAGACCACAGCAACGTCAAGGAGAAGTCATCCATGACCTCACCGGTTCTGATATAGTAGATTTCACTGTAAAATTGCTGCATGAACTGGGAACAAAGCAAAACACAACACAGAAATAATGTAATCTGGTTTTGCAGAAAGAACAACATCACACTGTTAAACCACCCAACGGGATAACCTGGACACACAGAAATCCAGATTATTAAGTGGGGCAAAGGGGTCAGGACAAAGCTTCATGAACAGCAAGCTAGCAGGAGGCACCCATGGGAGGTCAGTGAGGCTTCTGATGGGCAAACCTTCAGTACATTTCAGAAAGGAATGATATCGGGCATGATGGCTCACGCCTGTAATCCCAGCACTTTGAGAGGCCAAGGAGAGAGGATTGACTGAGCCCATGGGTTCAAGACCAGACTGGGCAACATGGAGACATCTTGTCTCTACAATAAATCAAAAATTTAGCCAGGCATGGTGGCATGAGCCTATAGTTCCAGCTACTTGGAAGGCTGAGGCAGAAGGATCTCCTGAGCCCAGCAAGTTGAAGCTGCAGTGGCCATGAGCATGGCACTGCACTCCAGCCTGGACGACAGAGTAAGACTCCGACTCAAAAATAAATAAACAAACAAGGAATGACACTAGTCATCCAGTCAGTTGGGTGGTGCCTCCCTTCTCTGGACTCCTTTATAAGTTGCAAGGCCACAGAAGATCTGAGCCCCCTCCTGGAGCCCAGCCCATGAGGATCATTGGGACCTGGCTCCTGGGTGTCCTCCATGAGAAGTGGACGTCTGGGGTCCTGGTTCATCCCAAGGACCTGTGCTTGCCGGTTCCCTTGGCTCTGGGTTGAGTCCTGAGGGTGTTTTGCTCTCTCTTGGCTTGAGGACCCACTGTGTGCCCTGCATCCATTCCCCCAGCTGGCCATACCCAGCCACAGGCTGCACTCACCTCCTTCCCTGTTTATTCAGGATCTGAGTCTCCTCACCACAGCAACCTACCTCTCTTGGAGAGTTGACAACAGCCACATTGTACCCATACTGGAAGGATGACCCGAAGGCAGCTATGAGGGTTGCCAGGGCAAGCACAAGCGTCAGCCTCTGCAGGGAGATCACAGCTTCGGTCAGGAAGCAGCCCCCTTGACTTCAGAGTCTTACGGAAAGACATAACAGAGTCGGCTCGGTGGCTCAGCCTGTAATCCCACGCCCTGGGAGGCTGAGGTGAGTGGATTGCCTG